TTACGTCGCCGCAAAATCATGTTCACCTAATACAGATTGCCTCCGAGATCGAAGTCCGAACCACGATTGCTGCTGATTGCTGACGGTTTGTCTGTTACGTCCGCACCCAGAAACCATGCTCAACTTGTTGAACTCTCTTCACCTTGTTCAACTTAGCCGGGACCAAGATCAAGCCAGATCAAACCAAGATCATCTTAGCCGACAATGGCCGACCCGTAGTACCTCCCGCTGCGCTGTAGCAAACCTTCACCCCCCTGCGACGAAGTACATATTCTCAAGGTATCAAGTCTACATAATTTTCTTCGAGTTTCCGCCTCAACAAGTTGGAGCTGTGCATGATTGCATTTTCAATTTCCGACGGAGGTCAAATCGACCGTGTACATGTATTAGGACAGGCTGGTACGTGGGTTGCTCGTTAGCTGACGGCGGGCTGTTTATAAGTTGAACTATGGTTAAATTTCAATCATGTGTTCCTGAAAGGCTGACTGACTATGGGCAGATTTGTGCGGACGCTCGATCGTCGCGTCGGTGTGCGCCATGGGGCCAGATTCCTCCCTTTCAAGTGAGATCAGGGCATCCATTATTTATTTATTGATTTCATGCGCACAGTCCACTGACAGATCGATCTCTCACCACCTTAGATTGCGTCCGAGATCATTGATCAAACTATGGTTGAAATTGCTCGCTTACCCAGTTACGTACCTAATCAATATTATCATATGTTCAAGACCATAATCCCATAGCCGAGACCAAGATCCCACAATCGAGACCAAGATCCAATAGCCGAATTACGATCATGCCATGCATTACCACGGCGAAGTATCCCTTGATCGTGCACCTTCGTGCACCTTATGGTGATGGGTTGGCCATTTCGGTCTTACCATGTAGCGGTCGATCTTAGCATAAGGCGGCGGCGGCCTTCGGGTAGGAAAAACATACACACCGGGATTACGGAAATTTCGCGGCAGCCGAAGTTAGTTTCGATGCGGCACGTGACCATTTCGGGCGCGCCGAAATGCATCGGCCTTACCATATATACTATATAGCAAGCCCAAAGCATTTCGGCGCACCCGGAACGAGCACGTGCCATATCGAAACTAACTTTGGGTGCCCCGAAATTCCTGTAATCCCGGTGTGATATTTCTGCTTCTGTGCCGTTGGAGTGGGCCACTCCGATCCGCTGGGAGATGGCGCGAGCTGGGATAGCCAAAGCAATGGATATGGTGCTAGCAAGGACACAGGCTGACCTAATCTACGCGTAAACAGGTCTAAATCTATCTTCCGCGCCACCGGTGTGGGCCGAGCCCACCACCACACCATTGCGCGATCGCGGTGGATTGCGCCCTTTTGGAATTGGGCCGTGTGCTTTGATGAATCACTCGAGATTGACCACGAATGCTTATCCTTTTCCTGTTACGTGCTCATAAAGTATGTTCAACTTGGCCGAACCAAGATCATCTTACCCGACAATACCAAAATTTAGTGCGCCTGTAGGCTGCTGGATGCACTCAAGCGGGCTGGCACATGTGACTTTTTTTCGATCCTCACGAACAGTCCCGAGCAATTTGCATTCAAGAGAGTGAGTGACCCGCATCTTGGCTAGAGTACAGTCTAGTGAGCAGGCGAGCCGTGACTGTACAGGTCCCTTACGGTTGAGAAAACCGATGTTCATACCCAGATCTGGAGTAATTACCGGGATAAAAAACGAAATCGAAGAATGCGGACGCAGGGGGTCGAACCCCACCCCACTGCTTGCAACATCTTCCCCTCAGGCTCTCGAAAGAATGCAGGTGTGCGCTGTGCACCACGTCCCCTTCTTGCCTCTGTTTCTAACCTCATCTGATCCAGACTTTAATAGAAGTTGTAAGGCATTCTACGCAAAAAGAGGAGTTGGGAAATGTCAGGTGGACGCGGGGAATTGAACCCCGTTCGACCGCTTGCAATTGAATCTTTTGTACCATATCCGAATGCAGTCGTGCACTGTACACCACGTCCGATAATTCTCGCTATTCCTAGCCCCGATAACTGGAAGCTTTTGGGACTCTGTGTGAAAAAATTGCTGACTCAGAGGACGCACGCGGACGCGGGGGGTCGAACCCCGTTCAACCACTTGTACTTCATCTACTCTCCTCACAAAATGTGGCCCCGCGACGCCACGTCCGCTTCCTTCCTCCATCCGGCACCTCAATATATGCTGTGGTTGGAAGCCTTCCAGAAAAAAAGTTCTACCATGCATACCAACGAGGCGGACGGAGGGAGTCGAACCCGTCTGACTGCTTACAGCTTGATGGCAATTCTCGACTCAAAGTGAAGGCAGAGGTGCGCCGTGCACCACGTCCGCTTAATCTCTCTCTTCTTCACCTCACTACATGCACGCAGATACTGGTTCTCCAACAAAGGGCATACCGACAAGCAAGGCGGACGCCGAGTCGAACCCCGTCTAATTGCTTGCAACATCTTTAACTTGAGCTCCCGAAAGAATGCAGAGGTGCGCTGTGCACCACGTCCCCGTCTCCGCTCTCTTCTTCACCTCAAAAAGGATTGTGAACCCGTGAAAGGCGAACCCGGGGAGGTCCCACTGCTTCCAAATACACAGTTCGCCCCCTACCGAATGCAGTGGTGCGCCGTGCACTACGTCCGCTTTCTCCCACCACTTTATCTCTTGATATATCCTGACAGATAGAAGCCTTTTGTGTAGATATTTTGGTGACATTTTCGATTGAATTGGCTTTTAAATGTGCTCACTGACCTCCCCCACATATTTCATAGGATATTTCCAAGACATTTAAACCACACATTTTGGGGACAACATTCCCGAATGGTGGTGTAGAGGCCTTCGAGCAAAACAAACCTGGCAAACCTGGACGCGGACGCAGGGAGTCGAACCCCGTCTACTACTGCTTGCAAATACCAAATTGTACTTTCGTACAGAGTGCAGTCGTGCGCCGTATAGGGTCTTGTATATAACTCCCTAAAGGATTATAAACCGTTTTTAATTTTTCGTTTGTAAGCAAGTTGTTTATAAACCTGTTTATAAACAGGCCACCAGAAGTAATCTCAGAGGCTCTGGACCATGTTTCAAGCCATTTTTTCGCTCGGCGAGGAATTTGCTGAGAGGCAATGTGCCAGATTTGTTCCTGGGGCATACTCTAATGGGTCAAAAGTGGAGTTCGCTCAAATTCTCCCATCTGGAGTCGCAGAACTGTCTGAAAAAAGATCAGTTCAGATGTTTATAAACAGGGTATTCCTGTCGAAAGATTAAAAACCGGGTTTATAAACGCCTGTTCATAAACGTGTTTACAAACCGGAATAATATACAAGACCCTAGCGCCGTACACCACGTCCGCCTATTCCCTCCATTCCTATCCTACTTTTCATCCAATTCATTCAACTCGTGAGGCATTTTCTGCCAAAAAACGCCTGCGAATGCCCAGGCGGACGCGGCGAGTCGAACCCCGCTCAACTGCTTGCAAATATCAAGTGCTCATGTTTACAGAGTGCACACCACGTCCGCTTTTCCCTTTTACTTCCTGCCCTCCCTAATTAACAGCTTGGAACTACTCCGCAGAATAAAAATGGTGCACGGACTCAAGAAGGCGGACGCGGGGAGTCGAACCCCGTCCAACTGCTTACCACAGGAATTGCATTTAATTCAGGGCAGTGGCGCACCGTGCACCACGTCCGCCTTCTCTCCGTCCCTGCCCCCTATCGGCGCGCCGGCCACCCGTTATTGCTGCCGTTCGGATTCGGGCTCCACTGCGGGTTGGGGCTCCACTGCGCGCCCGTGTTGGCGCTGGCGCTTGTGTTGGGATTCGGGCTTGCGTTGGGATTCGCACCCCAACTTCCCTCCCAGCTCGCGCTCCGCTGCCCGTTGGGATTCCCGCTGGCGTCCGAATTAGGCTTCGGATTCGGGCTCCACCGCGGGTGAGGGCTAGTGTTCAGATTCGGATTCCCCGCCCCCGCTCGCGGTGCGGCTCACGGGCGGCCCAGTGCGCGGCGCAACGCCCTCGCGTTGGAACTGGAACGTACCCGCCTGCTGCGGTTGGGCCTGGTGCTGAGGTTGGTGTGGATGCGGGTGCTTATGTGGGTCCTGCGTGCGTATTGTCAGTTACATTGCATGTGCGGAATCCAGACGCAAGGAAAGGATGGCGAAGAGGGTGTGCGTGCGCGTGGACGATGGAATATCAAGTGAGCAAGACGAGACAGGAGGATGGCGGCGACGGAAGCAGAGACTGAGTAGGCACAGCACAGATGAAAAAAGAGAGAGCGCCAAACGCGAAGGGAGAGCAAAACACGCGCCGACAGACACCAGAGAAGAACCGAACGCACCCTACTACGCGCCAGGGCGCCCGGAGGGGGCAAGTCCGGCGGGAACGGCGGGAACACTGTGGGTGGCGTGCGCGTCGGCTTAAGCGCCCCCGCGGGCCTCGGCGCTTGTCCCTGCAAGGACATGGCCGTCGTCGGCATGGAGGAGGTGGCCACGGCCATCAGCGTCGCCGACTCGAGGGTGGGGCGGAGGCATGAGGGAGGGAAAAGCAGCATGACATCAAGAGATTGGGAATTTAAGTGGTGGACTAGCCGCATTTGGACGTGGGCGCGATCAAGATGGAGAGGATCCCACGGTCACGCGGGTCTTCGTTGAACCTTGAAGGATCACGCGTTCACGTTTGTCTGAACACATCATAATTTTGGGCTGTTTTGGGAATGCATTCGGTCCAGCGAGGTGGAAGCCGTCTCAAGCAACCTGATTTTTGGATACAGATTGGATACAGACAACTTACATGGATTTGTAAAGATGTCATAGTGAGAAGGTTAAAGAAACAAGCAAGGCGAATGCGGGAAGTCGAACCCCGTCCAACTGCTCGCAAATCATTATCCCCGACAGAATGCAGTGATGCGCTGTGAACTATTTTTGTGTTCCTCCTACATCCTTACCCTCGATACATGAAGGGAAGTAGAAGCCTTCGAGTAAAAAAAAAAGCTTGGACCCAATAGCATTATGCGGACGCGGGGAGTCGAACCCCGCTGAACTACTTGTCACTTCGTCTTCGCCAAGTCACAGAATGCAGTGGTGCACCGTGCACCACGTCCGCTTTCTTCCTCTGTTCCTAACCTCAATATATCTTGGTAATTGGATGGTTGGAAGCCCTTGAACCAAACAACAAAGAAACATTCGAAGACCAGTTGTGAAGCATGTGAAGGCGGGCGGTCGAGCCCCATCCCACTGCTTGCAAGTTGCAACCACACCCAAGACCAAGCCCCATTATTAAATAAAGCGGTATACCGCACACGTCCGCTTCCTCCCTCCATTCCACCCTCCTTCTTCTATTCCTAGCCTCGACGCATCCAGGCTGTGCGGAATAAAAAATGTCTCCATAAGATATAAGACGGACGCGGGGTGTTTTCGCTTTAATTGAAAACACCCCGAAGTTCGGGCAGCGGTGCGCCGTGCACCACGTCCGATTTCTTCTTCTGTTCTATCTCTGCCCATATGTTGGCTGTGAAACACTTTCAGGAATAAATCTTGCTATGATAAAAGGATCCGGAGATAGCAGGCGGACGCGGGGAGTCGAACCTCATTGAACTAATTGCAAGGCATCTTCATCTTCTTCATCTTCTCATATAGAATGTAGTCGCCACGATTCCTAGCCCCAATACATCCAGACTTTGCAGAATAAAAAATGGGCGCGCATCAATCCTATGCGGACGCCGGGAGTCGAACTCCGTCTGGCTGCTAACAAATTCGGGGGCAGCCCATGAAATGAAGGCAGCGGTGCGCCGTGCACCACGTTCGCTTCCTACATTCCTACCCTCGATAAATGCAAACCTCGAATCGGTTTCGGGAATAAATCTTGTTCAAAAGAGTCACAACTCACGCTGTAAGCGGACGCGGGGAGTCGAACCCTGTTTAGCTGCTTGTAATTAGAACCTTCGCGCCGACTGATAGAAGGCAGTAGTGCGCCATGCATCACGTCCGCATCCCACCATTTTATCTCTCCATTTATTCGGGCAGTTAGATGCTTTCCACACAAAATATTCGACAGGATGTGCAACAGCCGCATGGGCCGCATGCGGCTTCATGCGGCTTTTGGTCATTGTGCAAAGCCGCACCCAAAACAGAGGATTTGGGGCCTCAACAACATGCATCTCAGTAGAATACATGTAAAACAAGTGTATAGTAGATGGTTATATCCAGAGACTGTCCTGGCTGAGCACCAACGATGTGTTAGAGCAGCCGACAATTCAGCGGCTTGAGCGATGCCGTGAAAAAACGGGTTTCCCGAGCTCTGTTCACAGAAGATTTCCACACTACTGAAGATTTAAGTATCTCAGGCATCGAATAGAAGCTCGGAGATGCAATGATGCTTGATTCAAAATAAACAGGAAAGCCGCTGCGGCTTTGCACAACTGCCAAAAGCCGCATGCGGCTCGTGCACATCCTGTCTAATAAATCGCAGTGTTGTGCGCCAGAGTGGATATGCGGACACGGGGAGTCGAATCTCATCCAACTGCTCGCATTTATCATACTCCACTACAGAATGTAGCAGCGTGCCGTACACCACATCCGATCCTTCTTCCTATTCGTAAAAAACATGGTTCAAATAATCCGGCGAGGCGGACGCGGGGAGTCGAACCCCATCTGACGGCTTACATTGATCTGTTTCCCCCGAATAGGATGCAGTCGTGCACCATGAACCATGTCAGCTTCCTCCTTTCAATTCCTGCCCTCCCTAATACCAGTTTGAAGCCACTCATCGGAATAAAAAATGGCTGATCGAAGCCGTATGCGAACGCGGGGAGGCGAACCCCTCATAGCTGCTTGCAATCACTTCCCTTGCCTGACAGAAGGCAGAAGTGCGCAGTGTACTACGTCCGCTTCCTTCCTCTATTCCTGCAGTCCATACCTGCAGACTTCTAGCACTCTTCTGAATTCAAAAAAGCTTAGACCCAAAATCCACTTATGCGGACGCGGGGAGTCGAACCCTTTCTCACTGCCTGAATGCCATTTCCGCGCATTATAGAATGCAGTCGTGCACCACGTCCGCTTACCCCCACCATTTTACCTCTCCATTTATCTAAGTTGTTGGCAGCCCTTGGGCAAAAATAAAGAACCGGCGAGAGGCGGACGCAGGGAGTCGAACCCCGCCTAACTGCGTGCAATTGAATCCGAGACCTCGTTGATCATGTGATGCAGCGGTGCGCCGTGCACCACGTCCGCTTCCGTCTTCTATTCCTACCCTCAATGTAGCTAGCCCGTTGGAAGCCAGTGAACGAAACCAATCGTTGAATTCGATGGGGGAGGCAGACGCGGGGAGTCGAACCCCGTCGAACTGCTTGCAATTCAGTCTATCTATGTTCACAGTAGGCAGTCGTGCGCCGTGCACTACGTCCGCTTAATTCCTCTGATCTGCGCCTCAATACATCTTGGCGGGTGGAAGCCCTTGAGCAAAAAAGGTTTCCAAGACTGCGGACGCGGGGAGTCGAACCCCGTTCAACTGCTTGCAACAGCAATGATAATGCAATGAATGCAGTGGTGCGCCGTACACCACGTCCACTTTTATCCTCCACTCTTGCGCTCCCTGATATCAGCTTGAAGCCACTCTGCAGAATAAAAAATGCTCAACCCAAATCATAAGGCGAACGTGGGGATTCGAACCCCGTCTAACTGCATGGAGCCTCATTTCCGGATTCCAAATGAATGTAGCCGTGCGCAGTTTATCACCTCCACTTCCTTCCTCAATTGCTACCCTCCCTGATACCAGCTTAGAGCCACTAGGGTTAGGCGCTATCGGCGCGGCCACCCGTCAGCGCTGCCATTCGGATTCGGGCTCCACTGCGGCTTCGGATTCGCACTCCACTGCGGATTAAGGGTGCAGCTCGTGGTAGAGTTGGGATTCGGGCTCCGCTGCGCGCCGCCGTGTCCGCCCCCATTCGCGGTGCGGTTCACGGGCGGCCCAGTGCGCGACGCATAGCCCTCGCATTGAAGCTGGACCGTGCCCGCCTGGAGTTGGGGCGGGGGTGCGGGTGAGTCCTGCGCATGCATGCATGGGTATGGTCAGGTTTCAGTTGCACACGGTGTGGAATATTAATCCGCGGCGTGGAACCCACACGAACAGAAGGCGTGGACAGAAGAATGAGAATGATGAACGGTGTGGACGAGAAGAAGGCGGAAGGTGTGGACGAAAGAATATACGGCGTGGACGGAAGAGTAAGATGGGAAGGGCGCAGCGCAAGGGAAAGCCGGCAGCCAACCGCCGTACCAAAGGAAAGCAGCGCACGCAAACTCAAGGAACCGGATAGTGGAAGGAAGAAGCGAGAGACGCGCAGGGGAGGGGAGAAGGTCGGGAAAGAGAAGAGCAAAACCGCGGGCGAGAGGAGGAGGAGACGGACCCTACGCTCCATGTCCACGCCCAAGATATCTCGTGGGATGAACTACGGGCGGCCATTTGTCCCCTACGCGGAATCTTAGGTAATGATACGATTCGGCTACAAGATCTACGACCTGCAACAGAGTAGAACCTTCACTGGTATGTCGCTTTCCCGGACTCGAGGGAATGTAGCACTGGCGTGTTGCCGCTCTCGGGTTGTGATTCGCACTGAATGGCTTGGCTTGCTGCACGGTATCAACAAGTGCCGATCTCTGAACCGATCAACAATCGCAAGACGATTTTCAAAAAGTTACAACAGCTTGACCACCGGAATCGACGGAATTACACCCGTCGCGGCCCTCCTACATTCCAAGAATATTTGATAAATTGACTCATAGATGTGCTCTCTTGCGATCTTCGCGTGCAAAATAAGAGCTGGGACGTTATTCGAGTTCGTAGCTGCATCGCGAATGATCTGGATGTCGGAGGGTCGCATCTCAGTGCGTAGAAGCAACTGATTGTTCCTGTCAGCCCTGATGTGCGTATTGATGAACCTACGAGAGCGATAAGCGAACTATGAATGACAATGAGGAACTGAAGAGTACTGCATGCAAGTTTCGACGGTGTACGGGACTCTTGTCGTCTCCCCAGTAACGCCGGAGGCAATCGTGAAACCCGCCGATATCCCCACCGTCACCAACTCCCTCACGGCAGAATGAATCCGAAAAGGAATGGTTATGGAGTTCCGGCCATCTGCATGTACAATGTCCATGATACCCACGGGATCGGCGTGAAATCCGGCAGAATCCGCCTTGGCTCGTTCGCTGCGCCACGCTGCTCGACGCTCAAGCGAGAACCTCCTTGGGTCTGTGGCCGGCGTGAATGCGTTGACCTGAAGCATGCCTTGTACTTTCTTCTCGGATGATCCCTCACCCAAGAAAATATCCGCGAAATCGACTATGTCGGAAGGCTCGACGGCAACATCCAGTCGGGCGAGGAGAAGTTCATCGCACCGCGCGCGGTGAAGCAGGTCGAAAGCTAGGATGAAGCATGACTGCACCTGCGTGAGCAAGACCGGATTCGATATCAGGGTCCTAACGAGCTTCGGGATGCCCGCTTCTCCACACGTCTGTTTATGCTCTGGCCTGTGCAAAATATGCGTTCAGGTATCAGTTGAATGGAGGCATGGATTACAGCCGTACCAGTTCCGGGTCTGACACTAAACGGGATAGAGAAGCCAATGAGCCGAGGGCGATATTGTCAATTTCAAGTTTCCGCTCATACCTCTTTTGAACAGTACGACACAATGTGACACTGAGGGAAAGATTAATTTACCTCCAAATCCGCAGAAGGAGGGCCAGTGGCTAACCTTCCCGCATCTGCGTAGGGGCTGACCAAGGACTTCATCGCTTTTAAAGCACGCCGAGCAGAATGTTATGATGCCGTTTCGCTTGGTTCGAATCTTCTTCGGTGACCACGCGAGGTAACGGAAAAGAGCCTCGTCGTCGATCGGTGTCGAGGCATCGATGGGCGGCGACATTGGGTGGGGAGAGCAAGAGGAAAGGAAGGAAGGATGTGACACCGAAGCCTCACGTTATCAGATCCGCACGGGCCATGGCACAAGCCTAAGACGTAAGTTCCAGAAGCGCGTTGAGAGAGCCATCGCGTCCCCGACGCGAACCGGGTTCGGGTTCGGGGAGGACAGGAAAATGGCTATCGTCCCGCATTCACCCGATATCCCAAGCGAGGCAGCGGATCTGTCGAGAACCGAGAGTCCAAGGAAGGGAGGACGAATTTCACTGCAATCCCAATATTCTTGGGGACTGGCGACCGGCGCTTATGTACAGTCAATTCGGATTTACCGTAATTCAACTTCTGCAATTCATCCGTGAATTCAATATTCAAGTTGATGCCCGCATTGCAAGGAGTGACCGAAAACACTGGTGAGCTGAATTCGGAAAGCCGAAGCGCTGTCTACGAGAGTGAACCAGGGTCAAATTTTGGAGACAGAACGAAAGGTATACTGAGTCGAGTTCCCGGCAATGGTGTGGCCAGGACCGCAAGTATTGCAATGTCAATCTGCGTTCGAAAGTGCGATGTTAACATCAGTCCGATCGCCTGCAAAACATAATCAGGCGGTGTACCGCGTACCCTGAACCACGCATGGCTGAACAGGAGAGCCAACGAAACATTATCGGATTACTAACTCTAGGGATAAAAGTACACCCCCGACTAGTATCGTACAACTCTGCATAGTATCCTACAAATTACCTCCGCAGATCATACAAATCCACACCCAAATCGCCTCCACAAATCATACAAATCGAGAAGAAAAAAAGAAAGGGAAACACCTGCTAGCTAGCCCCGCGGCCACCTGTTATCGCTGTGATTCGGGCTCCACTGCAGATTCGGGCTCCAGCTCGTGTTACAAATACTTTATTAGCTCCTCTTAAGTTCCGGGCGGTGGAACCGGAATGAGGACTTAAGTTCCCATACATCTTAAGTCCTGTAGAGTCCTGCAAATGTAGTGTATAGTGGCTAGATATACATGCCTTGGTGGGGGTACACTACAACTTAAGTTCGCGCATCTTAAGTTCGAAAGAAATATGTATCTAAAGGAACAAGCACTTAAGTCCCGCTCAACTGAAGTGCCGCCCGGTTCTCAAGTTCCCGCCGAGGACTTAAGTTCACTTCAGTTCCGCCAAAAGCAATCCATGCATTTACCTGTCATTTGAATGTTACTTCAAATAAAAAATGTATGTGAGGCGTACCGTTGCTGCCCCGGTGCTTTAACAGGACTCCTCGGTACGTACACATAACTGGAACGAGGAATAGCTTCAGAATATTGTCTGGAATGACGAGGACAAACATACCTTGGTTTGCCTCTTGTACTAGTAGCTGCAGCGCTCTTCAGTTGACGTTCCTCTGCGGCCTGCTGTAGCATAACTAATAGACTCAATGAACACGTGCGGCGAGACAAATAATGATCAGTGGCACCGGTGGCAATTCGGGATTCGATCAGGGTGACACTAGGTGGTGATGCATGAATGTGGTTTGTTTGAAGTCTTGAAGCAACAAGAGACAACAGGGGCAGTTCACCATCCAAGTTGTAACCAGGAACCTCGGTCGACGTGGGCTCGACTTGGTGGTCGAGAAGAGAAACAGAGTGGCACTGGCAGACACAGCCACTGATTGACACTTTAACATGGCGGCTGGCTTTCGAGCCGGTTGAGTCGTGCCACCGGTCAATCATGCCCAAACAATGCTTCTTTCACCACTCTCATCTCCACACAACCCCGTCTAGCTCCCTTCCATCATCTGGGCTCCGGCACACGATAATTGACCTTGAAATGACCTCTTCTCTATGAGGTCTATCCAGATTGGCATCTGCGATGAGCCTCCGTCTTTGCCACATTGTCGTGCACACCAACCGACCACTTGGTGCCAATTACCCAAGGTGTTCTTTGCTTTCTGCATATTCATGTTTTGTTGTTTTATAACATTCATCTAGGTCAGTTGTCTCCCGACTCTGCCGTATACTTCCCCTGCATTCCTTCGTCCACGACGTTCTGGTCCCGTGTGTGTTTCCCCAGCTCGTCTATCGTCACCCTATTGATTCGTTTCTCGTGCTCCCCGTCTACTGGGGACCAGCACCTTGATCAAAGTTCATGCATTTCCACTAGCTCAGAGTGATTTCCGACCTTCCTCCTACTCTTCCTTTGGAAATCCACGGGCTGCGGACAACCCAATCCGAGGTATGAAGACATTGGTATCTGGCCTTGTGATTGCTCAAACACAAACCATTAATTTTGTGGAACATTGATTTGCTTTCATAGAAGCAGGTATACTCTCGTGGTGAGCTGTCCGTGCGTAAATTTAGATGCTGTTTACGTAGGTACAGGAGGGGAGAGTGCAATATTCCAACTGATGGGCTGTCAGGAGAAGCAGCACTTCTTTCTCGCCGCTGAACTTGCACCACCTACCTAATACCCTTGACTAATAGAAGCCTTCCCTTCCCCGCCGCT